GTTACTTCACCTGACCAAGAAACCTGCCAACTTTGAGGTTATAAGACAGAGAGACTCCATCTCTGTCAAATAAAATAGAGTATCCTAGCCTAGGTCTTCTCTTCTACTCGGTTCTCTAGTATTTCATTAGAAACGTTGCTTTTTAAAAATTGCATAATAATTTCGATAGTTTTATCGATTTATGATGTATGATTAATATTGCAATAAGCTGAGTATTACAAGTGCACATGTCATTCAAAACGATCGAAAACTGGTGGCTAGCCACGCATCTCGTACATCATTTTTGGAACGCTTCGAAAAGTGTTAGATTTTAATCGACATCACGTTTCCATTGTAATGTGAGTGCACTGTAGCCATCGGTATCGGTTATACGAGCTATATTCGCTTATTTCTCGATTTCGATTGTTTGATTCTTGATAGCGCGAAAAAAGTAGCTCTTCGGTAAATCACTTATTCAATTCAAAACTGAAAATGATAATTTAGCAGTGAAGTTTTTAAAAAATTTATAAAAAGAATGAGAAAAGCGTTCAATTGATCAGTTTCTTAAAGAACCGCAGCCAACTGTTATTTTTGATGAAAACTATACGAGATGGGAATAATAAGATCGAAATAAATTTTATACGATGTTTTTATGTACTTTTTCAAAAACAATATCTGTGTGCCTTATATTTGCACATAGTTATTTTTACACATACCAGAAACAAATTTTACATGAAATAAAACTTTGGTGAAATATAGGATGAAACTATACAAAGCTCACGAAAATCGCATCAATTGTTAAAAACACATTCAAGTTTCTTTTTCAATTGAACTTTTGCGACAACATTTAGACTCGAAACAAATCATAAGAGAGAACCATGGTCGGTGCTTTTATTTGAAATCCTTTTGCATCTACGTTGACACAGAAAATGTCAGTAGTGCACAACTTTTTTCCAAATAAATTAGTAAAGTTAAGTATTTCATCTTATACAATAAGATAAACTATAGAGTGCTTCAGAATATTTTTCTATGATTTTAATTCGAGATCTACTATTGATGCGAGAATTGAATTTCTCAGTAGGTATAATTCTGATATAGTACTTAATAAGATGTAGAGTTTTTCTTACTTATGATAATAAAACTAAATCGAACAGGACTTATCTGGAGGCAGAAGTCTGGTATTCACCGTAAACGCAAAAATTAGGGAACAGAAAGAGAGAAACTTCTATGCTTTCATTTCATAAAAATGAAAGAAAAAAAACTGTAGGAGAATTTTTCCTATAGTTAACCAATGGCTAATACTTTTTATCATAAATACTTAAAGGAAAAGATTTCAATCAGTCACCTTTACAAGCATTACATGACAATAGATTTAAATGACCGAATGATACGCAAGCTATTCGAAGACTCTACAGAATCTCATCGAATAGATTCATAGATAATAGCAGGATTCTTAAGCAGCAAAAGAACTGCCTTTTCATTGCTGAGAGTGAGCTGTTGTCGTCGACTCAATAAAAACATAAGGTTTTCCGGAGATGCAGTCAAACAGACAGAAACTAACTGATATATTGTCAATCAAGATCTCCCGGAAACGTAACTAAAGCAATATTTCGATATTATTCGAAAAGATATATACAGAGTAGAGAAGAGTAATTTGCAAATCCAGAAAAACTTAATGGAGGAGAGCTTTTTCAGATGCTACAAACTATTCAGTGTTTACCCTTGTAGCCGGAGACACTATCGATGTATTTTAAATGTTACTCGTAGTACCAATACCAGTAAGGAATCGAGCTGTTTCTTGCTGACACTTGAGAAATTTTTTTCGGATGCCAGTTCAAAAATGGAGGCTACCCGAAGAAAATTTTTCATACGTTTGAAGGTGATCATCTCTTTTCTTTCGATGTATAAATTGATATAACTTACACTTTTCCGCTAGCCGTTGTCACTGATGTCTATTCATAGACATTAATCAAGAAGAGAGGTGAAGAAACAGAAATTATCTTAGACGATTTCATCTCAGTGAGATATAGTTTCTCCAAAATACTATCAGTTCATAATATTCAGATTTCGAACAAACATATTTCGTCCGAATATGTTCAAACAGGCAGAACTGAACATGGCTTATATAGACAATATTCAGTCTTCTGTAATAAGCCCAAATAAAATGTCGCATTTCCCGACCCAGAAAAATTTTCTACGGTTGAATACTTTGATATACTTTTTTTCCAAAACTAATCTCGATTGGACAGCTTTTTTGTAAATGTTGAAAAGAGGATGGAATAAATTCAATGTGCCATTTAGATATAGAAATTCTAGGAAAGCTTTACTGTTCCAAGTTACAATTCTAAAAATGGTGATTGGTGTCTTCATCAAGTTTCGACGGATTTGAAATTCTGCGGGAAACTGTTTCAAAAAGTATTGTTAGAAAACATGTTGAAAGTCATCCGTCTGAAAGTATTCATGCAAGAAAACTGAAAACAGAAAATATAATGTGCATTAGTTTTGATGAAAATCAACAAAAAATAAATAAGTGATAGCTTTGATAAGAGTTTTAATGTGCTGCAGTATTTGCAGTGTTTTGATCGGGTATAGGTTTATCGTTAGATATCTTGTGCAGTCTCCTCAACATATCAAACACATTTATTTAACAGTTGAACAATTCTTGAAGTGACACAGAAAGCTTGTATCCTTATACGTATATCAACTGAACAAATTGAGCAGAAATACTACAGGAACGGTTTTCTGTGGAAACTCTCCATATTCAGGAATATATTTATATGCTGATGTCAGATATGTGCTCTTTCTTAACTACTGTCTTCTTGTAGATTGAAATGGCTTCTACGGATGATAAGATTAAATTGGTCAAACACACTCCTCGTAGAACTACTGTTTTCGACAACACAAACGAGGCGTCAAAATCAATTTTAAATGCCCGAAATGCAAGAAATGATCAGTATAGCACGATTGCTCGAATCAAAAATTATACGTTTCGACACAATATGTATGACTGTTTCTTTTGTTGTCAAATATCATCGTTGTTGCTCTTTTCTAGGAAGTATTTTTACTGGTCGATGTTGGGTTTCATATCCAAACCTATCTTTGTGTTACCTATGATTACAAGTATACTTACGATCATAGGTATACTGGTCGTTTGTTTTACTGCACCGAAATCTTCAAGTACGTAGTTGTTGCTTTGTATTCTTCGTATTCAACACAATAAAAACCCATTGTTAATTCGATTCGGTTTTACCAGTTGTATGAGTTTTGGTTAAAAAACTTTGAATTGTGATAAAATATTTGATATCGACATGTTCGAAGCAAATCATCAAGCAAGGACAGATCATAAGCATTAAATTGCTTCACTTTTTCATTTTAAAGTAACAATGATGAATGCAAACCAATCAAGGTGATCATCAATGAAAAATCTAATGCTATATCCATAAGCTGAATCCTTTCATTTCACTTATTGGCAGTGACTATAGGTTAGAAAAGACTTTCAGAAAGACTCTTCCCAATGCCACTTTATTCTAAAGAAAGTAGAACAATAAATTTCTTCAAGATAGAGATTATTGCGTTTTCTACAATTTTTTTTGCATACATCAATTAAAAAGAAATTTTACAATCTGATTTTTTTTACCAGCTGATATTACTCATTGTTACTTGTTGCCTAAAGATCAATCCTACCAAATTGAATATTCTCGAATCACTTTTTCTATTATTTTCGATGGTATCCGTTCACATCTCTTAATGAAACCAGCACCTTACCCATATGCCTTCTTCTCTATCTCATCACCATATTTTGCGATATAATAGAAGTGCGAAAGAATAACAAAAAATGTAAGTGATTTTCTCATGGAAAACGCGGAGAGTAGATATCTCTCCTGTACGGAACACATCTTTTTTAAATTTTCTCACTTTATATTGCCTGGAGATGAGAGTAAGTATTATATGTGTTATATCTCTATCTTCTTTCGTTCTGCTAATATGTACGATACAATCATTTTACGTTTGCCTCTCTGAGCGACCTATGTATATTCTATGTTGCATTCACCAGTAAGTTCTAATGTCTTTATGAAATTCTAGTGAATTATTTTCGTTATCACGGTTCAAAGCAGTAAAATTTTGATTGTACGTTATAAAATTGAGAAAAATATTTATTACTAGTTGTGATCGAACAGATCGATAGAAATCATTGATTGCTCACTGTACGAAAAGCAATAGCAATACATAGTTGCATGCTTGTCACTCAAGAACTATTGGTGAACATGCATCGTCCATATGACGGAATTACTGACAAATACACTAAGTATGGTAGGTCGTCTTCATGCATGATTAGTCAGTCAGTAGACTCACATTTACATATCGAGCGTCACAATTTTGTTCCTTGTTATTCTGAAGCATTCGTAGAAGACTTTGTTATATTTTGTTCGTTATTCAAAATTACTAATTCAAAATACTGATTGGATCACTAAAGGTATTAAACAACGTAACACTTTTGATGTCCATTTGATTTTGCAGCAGTGTGGCACAGCACAGTTTTGAAACGAATTCTACAGTAAATCAGAAGATGAGAACAGACAAGTGGCTTAATTGATGAATTTCCATATTTAACTTTATCTGAATTCGAAGAACCTAAGCAGAGTTCTTTTGAAAGATGATGATTATGAATTGTCTCTGAATAGAGTCATACGATAACTACTAACAACATAGGATAGTAATTGTGATAATGCAAAACAACCTATACTGAACACAAAAAAGGTTTCGCAGGTTTGTAATGAATTTGCAACTTTTTTTTGGTTTCGTATAACATTACGAAACCATTAATTTTTGATGATGGTTTCGTAGCGCTATACGAAACCCTTATAGAGACGTGTAAAGCATCCAGAAAACTGTTTCGGGGTTCCGTAGTACCACACAAAATTAAAAAAGGGTTTTGAATTTGTTACAAACTGCGAAACCTAAAAAGAGTTTCATGATATGCATGAAACCCTTTTTCAGGTGTCTTATAAACCTTTGTTTTTGTTTTCATTGTAAAACGAATAGTTCTACTAGAGCAAACAGTCACTCATCTCATTCTTTTTCATGTATCATTTAGTTGCAAAGTGCGGTCTCAATTTCAAACCAACGGCTCAAAAGCCAATTGAATATAAGTACGGTCCACGATCTGTCGCCATCGGCGATTTCGACAATGATACAGTTTTGGATATGGTTGTCGCCAATCATATAGTGAATAAAATAGCTGTGTATTTGGGACATGGTGATGGCACTTTTAAGGATCCAACTATGTATTCAACAGGCTCCTACTCTAGTCCTTACACGGTCACCGTTGGTGATTTGAACAATGACAACCGATTGGATATTGCAGTAGCGAATTTCGGCACTAACAATATCAACATCTTTCATGGATTTGGGGATGGATCTTTTGCAAGTCAAATAGAACTTTCAACAGGCTCATCTCGTCCAATAGCAATTGTTGCTGTTGATTTCAACAATGACTCACTACTTGATATTGCCACTGCCAATCACGGAACTCACAGTATTAGTATATTCTATGGATATGACCATGGAAATTTTTCGCCTGCAAATACGTATTCAACAGGTTATGATTCTCTTCCATCCTCATTAGCTGCTGGAGATTTCAATAACGACAACTATTTAGATCTCGCCATCGCCAATTATGGCAGGAATAATGTTGGCGTACTTTTTGGAAATAGTAACAGAACTTTTGAAAAACAAATCACGTTTTCAACTGGATTTGCTTCCCATCCATACTCAATCGCTATTGGCCATTTCAATAACGACGGATTTGTCGATATAGCTATCGCCAATTCTGGAACACATGAAATACGTATACTTTCGAACAATGGCAATAGAACTTTCAATCATCAAGCCACCTATTTCGTTGGTTCTGCTTCTCCATATGCGATTGGCGTCGGAGACTTCAACCAAGATAATCGATTGGACATCGTCATCACTAATAAGGGCATAGAAAATATAGGTGTACTCGTTGGATATGGAAACGGCTATTTTGAAAATCCAATTATGTATTCAACTGGATCTTATTCTTCAATTTCTGTTGCCATAGGTGATTTCAACAAGGACCATCGATTGGACATTATCGTCGCAAACAATGATACTAGTAGCATAGATATTCTCCTTGGTAAATATGAAGGTTTTTTAAATCAAACAAGATATTCAGTTGGCTCTTATCCACAATCTGTAGCTATTGCTGATTTCAACAACGACACTCAACCAGATATCGTTGTCGCCAATTGGAATAGCAACGATGTGAGTGTCCTTTTTGGATATGAGAACGGTTCTTTGGCAAACCAAACAAGATATTCAGTTGGCTCTGGTCCACAATCTGTAGTTGTTGGTGATTTGAACAACGACACTCAACTAGATATCGTTGTCGCTAATATGGATAGCAATGATGTGAGTGTCCTTTTTGGATATAAGAACGGTTCTTTTGCAAAAGAAACAAGATATTCAGTTGGCTCTTATCCACAATCTGTAGCTGTTGGTGATTTCAATAACGACACTCGACTAGATATCCTTGTCGCGAATACTGCTAGCAATGATGTCAGTGTCCTTCTTGGATATGGGAATAGGTATTTTGCAAAAGAAACAAGATATACAGTTGGCTCTAGTCCATATTCTGTAGCTGTTGGTGATTTCAACAACGACAATCGACTAGATATCGTTGCCGCCAACAATGGTAGCAATGATGTGAGCATCCTGCTGCAATATAACAGAGGAGCGGTAGCATATGGAATGGCCTATGCATCTGGCGGTGGATCTAGCCTACAATGTATAGTGATTGGTGATTTAAATAACGACGATAACCTAGATATCGTCTTGGCAAATTACGGTAGTAATAATTTAGGCGTCCTTTTTGGATATGGAAATGGAAGTTTCGAAAATCAAATGATGCTTACCACTGGCTCAAATTCTCATCCAACATCAATTACTATTGGCGACTTTAATGGCGACAGTTTAGTAGACCTTGTTGTGGTTAATTATGGTACAAAGCAAGTGGGTATGATGCTAGGATACGGGAACGGAACATTTGCAAATCAAACGAGTGAAGGAATTAGTTTCGATTCGCGTTCGCTAGCTGTTGCTTCTGGTGATTTTAATAATGACAAACGATCTGAAATGGCTATCATTTACGATGGAAGGGATAATGTAGATATCTTTGCTGTATACAATCATGGTTCATTTTCAAAAGAAACAAGATATTCACTTGGCTCTTATCCAAGTTCTGTAGCTGTTGGTCATTTCAACAGCGACACTCGAGTCGATATCGTTGTCGCCAATTATGGTAGCGGTGATGTGAGTGTCCTTCTTGGATATGAGAACGGTTCTTTTGCAAACGAAACAAGATATTCAGTTGGCTCTGGTCCAAGTTCTGTAGCTGTTGGTGATTTCAACAATGACACTCGACTGGATATCGTTGTCGCTAATATGGATAGCAATAATGTGAGTGTCCTTTTTGGATATAAGAACGGTTCTTTTGCAAAAGAAACAAGATATTCAGTTGGCTCTTATCCATATTCTGTAGCTGTTGGTGATCTGAACAACGACACTCAACTAGATATCGTTGTCGCTAATATGGATAGCAATGATGTGAGTGTCCTTTTTGGATATGAGAATGGTTCTTTTGCAAAAGAAACAAGATATTTAGTTGGCTCTTATCCACAATCTGTAGCTGTTGGTGATTTCAATAACGATACTCTACTAGATATCGTTGTTGCCAATTCAGCTGGCGATGATGTGAGTGTCCTTCTTGGATATGACAACGGTTCTTTTGCAAACGAAACAAGATATTCAGTTGGCTCTAGTCCAAGTTCTGTAGCTGTTGGTCATTTCAACAACGACACTCGAGTCGATATCGTTGTCGCTAATTTGGGTGACAATGATGTGAGTGTCCTTCTTGGATATGACAACGGCTCTTTTGGAAACGAAACAAGATATTCAGTTGGCTCTCGTCCAATATCTGTAGCTATTGGTGATTTCAACAAAGACACTCGACTAGATATCGTTGTCGCCAATCAAGTTGGCAATGATGTGAGTGTCCTTCTTGGATATGAAAACGGTTCTTTTGCAAAAGAAACAAGATATTCAGTTGACTCTTATCCACAATCTGTAGCTGTTGGCGATTTCAATAACGACACTCGACTAGATATCGTTGTCGCCAATACAGCTAGCAATGATGTCAGTGTTCTTCTTGGCTATGACTATTTAGTATTTGTAAAGCAAATGATGCTCATAACTGGAAATGGTTCCCGACCACATTCGTTAGTGATTAGTGATTTTAACAATGATGGTCTAATAGATATCGGTGTTGTCAATTTATTTACCCAGAATATTGGTATTTTTCTCGCGCATGACAATATGTCGTTTAGAAATCAACTGACATATTCAACTCGCCCATATTTATCGCCATGCTCTATGGCTGTTGGTGATTTCAACAATGATACTCAAGTGGATATCGTTTTTGGTAGTTGTGGCTCGGATACTGTAGGTGTTTTCCTTGGATACGGCAATGGCTCTTTGGGAAATGTAATGGTGTATCCAACAGGTTCAAATTCGTCCCGATACTCTCTAGCTGTTGGTGACATTAACAACGACACTATGCAAGACATTGTCATCGCGAATCATGACAACAACGATATCTATTAGACCATCATTGTTAAAATCACTAATCACTAACGAATGTGGTCGGGAACCATNAACCGTCTGGTGAATAAGTTCCCATATCTAACTCTATGTGAATTCTAAGAAACTAAGCAAAGTTCTTTTGAAAGGTGTTTTTGTGTAATCGTCTCTAAATATAGTTGTACGATAACTTTGATGATTCGAAATAATCTGGAACAGATAATTTTACTAAAGCAAAGAATCAGTCATCACATTGATTTTGACGCATCGTTTAGTTCCAAAGTGCAGCCTCAAGTTCAAACCAACGGCTCAAAAGCCAATTGAATATAAGTATGGTCCACGATCTGTCGCCATCGGCGATTTCGACAATGATACAGTTTTGGATATGGTTGTCGCCAATCATTTAGTCAACAAAATAGCGATATATTTGGGAAATGGTGATGGCAGTTTTACAAGTCCAACCATGTATTCAACAGGTTCCTACTCTAGCCCTTACACGGTCACCGTTGGTGATTTTAACAATGACAATCGATTGGATATTGTAGTAGCAAATTTCGGCACTAATAATATCGGTATCTTTCATGGATTTGGCAATGGATCTTTCTTAAGTCAAATAAAGTTTTCAACAGGCTCATCTCGTCCAATAGCAATTATTGCCGCCGATTTCAACAGTGACTCACTACTTGATATTGCCACCGCCAATTATGGAACTTACAGTGTTAGTATACTCTATAGAACTCGCAATGAAAATTTTTCCCCTCCAATTACGCATTCAACAGGTTATGATTCTTTTCCATTGTCATTAGCTGCTGGAGATTTCAATAACGATAACTATTTAGACCTTGCCATCGCTAATTATGGCACCAATAATGTTGGCATACTTTTTGGAAACAGCAACAGAACTTTTGAAAAACAAATCACGTTTTCAACTGGATTAGGTTCTCATCCATACTCAATCGCTATTGGCCATTTCAATGACGACGGATTTGTCGACATAGCTATTGCTAATTCTGGAACGCATGAAGTAGGCGTACTTCTGAACAACGGTAATAGAACTTTCGCTAATCAAGCCAATTATTCCATCGGTTTCGCTTCTCCATATGGGATTGGCGTTGGAGACTTCAACGCAGATAATCGATTAGACATCGTCATAATTAACAACGGCAATAAAACTATAGGTATACTTCTTGGATATGGAAACGGCGATTTTGAAAATCCAATCATGCATTCAACCAGTTCTTATTCTTCAATTTCAGTTGCAATAGGCGATCTCAACAAGGATCATCGATTAGATATTGTCGTTGTCAACAATGATACTGGTAGCATAAATATTCTTCTTGGTCAATATGAAGGTTTCTTAAATGAAAAAAGCTATGCAGTTGGCTCTTGGCCATATTCTATAGCTGTTGGTGATTTCAATAACGACACTCGACTAGATATCGTTGTCGCCAATAACGGTGCGAATTATACTAGTGTTCTTCTTGGATATGAGAACGGTTCTTTTGCAAAAGAAAAAAGATATTTGGTTGGCTCTGGACCATGTTCTGTCACTGTTGGTGATTTTAATAACGACACTCGGCTAGATATCGTTGTCGCCAATGAAGGTAGCAATTATGTGAGTGTCCTTCTTGGATATGGGGATGGTTCTTTTGCAAAAGAAACAAGATATTCATTTGGCTTTTTTCCACAATCTGTAGCTGTTGGTGATTTTAATAACGACAATCGACTAGATATCGTTGTCGCCGATTATTTTCATAGTGCTGTGAGTATCCTTCTTGGATATGACAACGGTTCTTTTGTAAAAGAAATAAGATATTTGGTTGGCTCCGGACCATATTCTGTCGCTGTTGGTGATTTCAATAACGACAATCGACTAGATATTGTTGTCGCTAATCAGGACAGCGATAATTTGAGTGTCCTTGTTGGATATGGAAATGGCTCTTTTGCGAAACAAAGAAGATATTCGGTTGGCTCTCTTCCAAGATCTGTCGCTGTTGGTGATTTCAATAACGACAATCGACTAGATATTGTTGTCGCCAACTTTGGTAGTAATGACGTGAGTGTCCTTCTTGGATATGAGAGCGGTTATTTTGAAGAAGAAACAAGATATTCGGTTGGCTCTCAACCAGTATCTGTCGCTGTTGGTGATTTCGATAACGACAATCGGCTAGATATTGTTGTCGCCAACTTTGGTCGTGATGACGTGAGTGTCCTTTTTGGATATGAGAACGGTTCTTTTGCAAAAGAAAAAAGATATTCGATTGGCTCTGGACCACATGCTGTCGCTGTTGGTAATTTCAACAATGACATTCGACTAGATATTGTTGTCGCCAACTATGGTAGCGATGAGGTGAGTGTCTTGCTTCAAAATAACAGAGGAGCGATAGCATATGAAATGGCCTATGCATCTGGTGGTGGATCTAGCCTACGATGCGTAAGAATTGGCGATTTGAATAACGACACTAATCTGGACATCGTCTTGGCTAATTACGGTACTAATAATTTAGGTGTCCTATTTGGATATGGAGATGGTAATTTCGAAAATCAAATGATGCTTACCACTGCTTTAATTTCTCATCCGACTTCGATTATTATTGATGATTTTAATGGCGACAGTGAAGTGGACATTGTTGTTGCCAATTATGATGCAATGCATGTAGATATGCTGCTTGGAAATGGAAACAGAACATTTGCATATCAAACAAGCGAAGGAATTAGTTTTGATTCACGTATCTTAGCTATGGCTTCTGGTGATTTTGATAATGATAAACGATCGGATATCGCCATCATTTACGACGAAATGGATAACGTAGATATCTTTGTTAGACACAATCATAGTTCTTTTTCAGAATCAACAAAATATTCAGTTGGCTTTGATCCAAGATCTATCGCTGTTGGTGATTTTAATAACGACAATCGACTAGATATCGTTGTCACCAATTATATGAACGATGATGTGAGTGTCCTTCTTGGATATGAGAATGGTTCTTTTGCAAAACAGACAAGATATTCGGTTGGCTCTTTTCCAAGATCCGTCGCTGTTGGTGACTTCAATAACGACACTCGACTAGATATCGTTGTCACCAGTGCGTCTAGCGATAAGGTGATTGTCCTTCGTGGATATGAGAACGGTTCTTTTACCAAAGAAGCAATATACTCGGTTGGCTCTGATCCATTGGCTGTCGCTGTTGGTGATTTCAATAACGACAATCGACTAGATATCGTTGTCACCAATTATATGGACAATGATGTCAGTATCCTTCTTGGATATGAGAACGGTTCTTTTGCAAAACAAGCAAGATATTCAGTTGGCTCTAATCCATTTTCTGTAGCTGTTGGGGATTTTAATAACGACAATCGACTAGATATCGTTGTCGCCAATTGGGATACCAATGATGTAAGTGTCCTTCTTGCATATGAGAACGGTTCTTTTGCGAAGGAAAAAAGATATTTGGTTGGCTCTCATCCAACATCTGTCGCTGTTGGCGATTTCAATAACGACAACCGACTGGATATCGTTGTCGTCAATTCGTATAGTAATGATTTGAGTGTTCTTCTTGGATATAAGAACGGTTCTTTTGAAAAAGGAACAATACACTTAGGTGGCTCTTTTCCATTTAGTGTAGCCGTTGGTGATATCAATAACGACGCTCGACTAGATATCGTTATCGTCAATTCGCATAGCAATGATGTGAGTGTGCTTCTTGGATATGAGAACGGTTCTTTCGCAGAAGAAACAAGATATTCGGTTGGCACTGGACGACAGTTTATCGCTGTTGGTGATTTCAATAATGACACTCGACTAGATATCGTTGTCGCCGGTTGGTATAGCACATATGTGAGTGTCCTTCTTGGCTATGGCCTTACAGTTCTTGTAAAACAAAGAATACTCATTACTGGAGATGGTTCTAGACCACAGTCGTTAGTGATTGCTGATTTTAACAATGATAATCTCATGGATATCGTTGTCGCCAATAGAGGTACCCACAATATTGGTATTTTTCTTGGATATGGCAATGTCTCTTTTACAAATCAAGTAACATGTTCAACTCACTCATATTTATCGCCATGCTCTACAGCTGCTGGTGATTTCAACAATGATCTTCGATTAGATATTGTCTTTGTTAGTTGTGATTCGGATACGGTTGGTGTTTTGCTTGGACATGGCAATGGCTCTTTTGGAAATGTGGTGTCGTATCCAATAGGTTCAAATTCGTCTCGATACTCTCTAGCTGTCGGTGACATGAACAACGATACTATACAAGACATTGTCGTCGCGAATCATGACCACAACAGTCTAGGTGTACTTCTTGGAATTGGTAACGGGACATTTGCAAGCATCATCCTATTTTCGTTGGACTACGGATCCAGCCCATTCTCCATTATCGTCGGAGACTTCAACAATGACAGAAAACTAGATATTGCCGTTGCTAATAATGGAACCGACAGTTTAAATATTCTCTTGCAGACTTGTTAGCCTTTTATCTCTTACTTTATATTTTCCTATTACTCACTTGATTGTAATGTTCCTTGATGTATAGAGAAGCTTTATTTAACCATTCAAATGTTTCTCAGTTTGAAAGACGAATGAAGAAAAAGGATGTAATGGGCTGGTGGATGTGGATGTGAGGTTTAGGTGAAGAAAAGACAAACACTCACATTTACATTTCAATGGATTTATTCAGTCTCTCAAGATATTTTAGCTCTACGAAACATCTTTTCTGAAGTCCACAAATTCAAAAATGGTGTGGGTTCGGATTCGAATATTGTTCTTGACACACACCCATACCCCCTAGATCATCCGATCTATCTATAGACAAAATTTCATGTCGAAATTCTGTTTTTTGATTTTTCGGTATATACCTAAAACTCGATCGAAAATTCAGCAAAACGATCATAACATGACTCCAAAAATCTATGACGACGAACACTTTTCGATTTTTGCTAGTCTTACCAAGACGTCCTTTTAGGTCCAATATGAGCTTCAATGGCGGGTATGAGCTCGGGTGGTTACCTCATAAGATTAGAAGAAAACATCAAACAATTATATTGTTGAAGTCATGAATAGAATCATTTAAATATTATTGAATGAAGATTTTGATGTATCCTGCATCGTCATCAATAATTGTTGAATTGTGAAAATATGAGTTTTGCTGAAAAATGATTAGTTTCTATGCATATTCTTATGATTTGCACTTTATTTGTTTTTGTATTGAGTTATAAACTTTCTCTTCATTGTTTCGGGTATGGTACATGCTTTCCTTGTTTCCTTCTCATTCAGGTAAGAGCAGTTTTCTTGTTTGAAAGCATGATAATCAATGAATAATGAATAAATACGAACAAATCTACTGTTTTCTGACTAGGAAATCATCTGATTTTGAGTCAAAAGCAATTATATACGTAATACAAATGGATTTTTACATTGAACGGATGTCTTACTGAAAAGAACAAATAATTTTTCCTTTCATTGCTTTTTAAATCATTGATTCTATAAATTTTTGAATGCTTAATATAATTTTTTATCGGTAGATAAAAGGTGTGGGTATGGTGCGGATACGGCTTGTGGTAAATAGTAAACCCTGAGTAACCCACACCCACATCCTGACCGGACAGATCCTTAATCTCTGAAAAAAATCATTTTTATTGGTCAAAAATTATCTTTCACCTTGGATGAACGAAAAAATTTTCCGTCTAGAGTCAGGTCATGAAAAATTGGCCCACATCGGACATTGACACATATTCTCATCCTCAAGTAATTGTACATTGATAGAATTGAACATTTTCTATTCTTTACTGCTAATTTTAATTGATCACAATAAACGTATATTAACTTTCATAATAGTCAATCACATTTTTTGATTATGAATGAACGACAATAAAAGTAATATATATTATCTTATTTTTTCTTTCTTGTGCTTTGTATTGACACAATAATGAAATTCTTACAAGAGAATACGTTTTCATTATTGTTTTTCTGAAAAAAATCTTTCGTTTTCCTCCAGGACACAAATTAAAAATATCTAAGAAAAAGTTGTTTTTTATTGCTTTCCAATTCTTCATACGCGCTTCGTTCTGTTCATAATAACACTGTTCCTTCATACTGTTTACATTGAACTTTTATGACTGATCTGAACAAACTTGCTATCCGTTTCACTTTAGTGTGATGCTGTTTGCCAGTTCCTCTGGTGATTTTCTCTTCGTCAACGATATATATATGTATATATATATATATGAATCATATTTTAAGAAAGTATACATATCAACGCTATTTTTTTCTAGCCGATTTATTCATTTGTGGTGGATAATGATTACTACGCTATAATGGAAAGGAACTGTAGATCCAATTGAGGAAGAACCTCTAAATGTAACAGTCGTATTATGATTTTAGAGGTTAGGCGTGCATCATGGGCTCCTCAACTATTGATGAAAGAGGGTGTGGGTGCGGGCATACAAAGAGAAGCAAAGCGCACCATACAGGCAACCACACCAGACCCTCAAAATTAAATCCTGATAAGATTCTAAATTTTTATTGCAGGAAAAATCAATAGCCGAATCCTGAAAAAGATCCTGACAAAACTGGAGAATATTTTGAAAACAGAAACGGTCAGGATTGGGGACAGGATTCTGATCAAAATGTGACCAGATTCCATCAGCTCAGAACCATGAGTGATCTTTAAAGATATTCTTCAGGAATGATCAGATTGAGACTAGGATTATTATTGATAAAAAATCAGTCGATTGGTCAAACTACAGCGAAAATATTCAATTTTTTGTTCGATAAAGTGGCTTTTGGACGACTTTGCAGTTGCCTCATTTCATCATTTTTGACCGAAAATAAAACCTGAAATGTTTTATCAAAAGGGAATGAGGAGAAGACGAGAAGCTGTAAGGAGAAAAAGTCAGTTGTTGCTTTTTGCTTTCATTATCTTGTATTCTTTATTCTGCTCGCTCTCAAAATAGAATGAAGGGAACGAAAAGAAGAGGAAAAAAAATGTCAGTAGCTACGTTTTGTTTTTTTTATCGTGTATACTCCCTCTCTTGCTCACTCATCGTATGTGCTGTAGTCATGTCGTTACTTTTCGAGAAGGTCGCAAAGGCAAGTGATGACTGGTTACAATTGCTGTTTGACAAGGTTGTATTTATCACGGGTGCTGGTGGGGGCATTGGTTCTGCAATATCTCAGACATGCACCTTGCATGGGGCACGTGTGGTTGTATCCGATGTTAACAAAGCGGCTGCTGATGAAGTTGTAGCCAAAATCATTGACGACGGCCACGAAGAAACACAGAAAGTGGACTGAGTGATCAGTTTGGAACTCGATATCGCTGATGAGGCAGCCATTCAACAAGCAGTTAAAAGGGTTGTTGACAAGTGGGGTATTATTGATGTACTCGTTAATGTGTATGTGTGGCATAATCGATTCAAAAAATATTTTTAGCACCAGAAAGTTAAGAATACTCTAAATCTAAACATTACGAGTACCTCTCTTTTTAATCAGAGTAAAGATGCACTTTCGCGACCATGACCGGGAGAGATAGACGTCGATATGTTTTTTTCATTTAAAGTCTGTATTTTTTTTTCAGTGCTGCAATCTTTATTTTTGGGACTTGTCGAAGATGTGTCGGCCGAAGATTGGTCCAGAATGTTCAATGTTAATGTTCGCGGCTATGCTCTGATGGTTAAACATATTGTGCCCCTAATGAAACAGCAACGATCTGGTTCTATCATTCAGTTCGGCAGCAGCAGCGGTTTGGTCGCTCAGTCTGCTGTCCTTCCATACAGTCCTACCAAAGCAGCCATCATGCAAATGACACGAAACTTGGCACTCGACTTGGGTCCTTACAATATTCGATGCAATTCTATTTGCCCGGGCTATATTCGTGTGTTGCTCTTTCTCTTTTATTTCTGCGGACTAATGAATATATTTGAATTTTTTCAGTTACGCGTCCGGTTGTCGATTATGCGGTCTCATTGAATTTATCGATGGAAGTGTTCACAGAAGGCATCGCCAAAAACCAGTGCTTAAAGCGATTGGGTACACCGCAAGAAATGGCCAATGTGGTCGTGTTTCTGGCCTCGGACTTGTGTCCTTTCATCACAGGTGCCAATATTACACCAGACGGTGGCTATACAGCCATTTGACATCAACGCTAGACCTCTCTTGTTGTTGATGTACAGGGTGGTAAATAATATTATTCCAGGGGGGTAACAGTATGATCTCGAATCGGAGATATCATGAATTTTATACCAAATGAAAGCCCGTGAAAAATGGGGTTTANTTATTATTGTCTTTATTGGTATGCATAATATAAAAGTATGAAAGAAAAAAAAAATATTATATCTTACTAGTTGAGTTTTTCGGAGGTCATCGAAAGTTTCATGAATATAAACAGATAGTAGTTCAGTTGACTTTGGAAATTTTCGGTTCATATGTGTTTTTTAATTGGCTCTACTCGTTTAATTTCAGGGTAAAACAAACAATAAAGGCCAACATGAAATAAAAATTACCTATCATGGTATTGAACAAGAACCAAGACCAATAATTGTTCGTGCATTGGCAGCCATTACTGATTTGAATTCTCAAATACAAGAAACACAAGCAAATTTTCTCATACATCCGTGCACATATTATGTTGGATTTCAATTCGTAAAGAATTATGGAAAGAAAGATGAACTGGTGCGAACAAAAGTTATCGTAACAGATATTGATGGAAATCTAATCAATAATGTTTTGGTTCAGTGTGATATAATTGGACATGGCAAGGAAAAAAAAGAAGATCAAAATGGTTTAACAATATTTGAAGACGTCACCGATGAACAAAGATTAACAATTTTCAGTTCAAATGAAGATGCAGTTAATATCGATTATACACCAAAAATAGGTAAAAGATAGAATTCGTAAGAACAAAAAATCAAGTTAAACTTCATCTGAGTAAGATATTGTGTAATAAAGATTTTCCATTCGGACCGTAAGTGGTACTTTAGTGAACGTTTCTAAATTTGATGGAATAAACAGAAAAGATAAGTAAGGTGTGCATGTTTTAGTTGGAAAATTCTAAAGAAATTTCTGCTATCGTTTTCATATAAGTATAAATGAAAACTAACAGATATTATTTCATGTTGTCAATATTTGAATAGTCCATTGTTCTCATCAATGAATTCATTTGTAAATCTTTTGAGAATACAAGCACAAATACCAGTGTTATTGAAGACACGTTTCATAATCGATTTCACCATATATATTAAGATCGACATAAACACTACTGTAAGTTTTTTTACGCTTAGGTGTAAGTTCGGTTTATTTGTAATGTCTTGATTATGATGACCAAATAGAAGAGTACAACAAGAAGAGAAGAAGTAGACAGAAGAACACTTATAGAGAAGACTAGTGAACGAAGTACAACTTATAACAATTAGACGCGCATATATATATAATATATATATTGGAAAAAACCATGTATAGTGTATTACAATATATTGGGAAAATACCGCTATATCGTGAGGAAGAATTCCAGATAGAAGATATTCGAAATTTCCAACACTTAGAAATGTCCTTGAATAGTTTATATCTGAACAACAACAAGGCAGATGATAGCCTTGGGATTTTTTTTTTGTTATCGATTAATTACATAATGAAGACAATCATGACACAGATTTTTATGAGAATTTTGGCCCATTACAACTAGAGTTAAATTATCTAAGGTTGCATCTCTTGAAGAATAGAATATTTGACCAATGTGTTTCAATCCATGTTGACAATCGTTCAATTTCAATATAATGTTAATCAATAGTGTTTGAAATTGTATATTCATGAGGGTGTTGTCTTTGAAAAATCTTTAATGACAGACTTAGATACAATAGTAGGTTAGAAGGAACTCATCGAAAGATGCTCGTATGTCTTGGAAATGAGGTTTATATCTCACTAGAGTCGAGATGAACTGCTAAGCAAGTACATAGATAGTGCTCGTTTATCAATAGTTACTGAGAAGCTTAATGCGATTCTCAATTTAAGAAATGATCAATATGCTTTTTTTCATAACACTATATAACTTCTATCTCATATTAGGGGGCAGATACAAAATATCATACAGTGTCAAAGATGAACAAGGACGATTAGCTATGAGTTACTATGAAAATTTTTATGTCTCTGGTGGCTATGTGCAAGAAGTAAAAGAACGCAAAGTGGATTATGTTCCAACTGATAGAGTCACAATTGTGCCGAATGCAACAACTTATCAACCGAATGATTTATGTGAATTACTAATCTTAGCACCGTTTAGTCCAGCTAATGGTCTACTTATACTCGACTGTGACGGTCAAGTCTCACAACCAATACATTTTCAGATAGAATCTGGAAAAGATTCAACAACTGTTGCATTTAAAATATCAAAAGATTGGGTGCCAAACTTCACAGTCTATGCTGAACTAACAGGCTCAATTCCAAGAGAGATCGAAGTGAGTGATTCTCTATATTGTCCAGCAATCGCTACTGGTTCAGCATCATTAGAAGTATCAAAAGATATTTATAAATTGAATGTTTTAATTAATACGAAGGAAACAAATAAATTATATACACCATCATCAATTATTCATATAGATGTCAATGTTACACAACATGTAGATAAATCATCTGTAGACAAAGCAGAAGTTTGCTTAATCGTTGTCGACGAAGCAATCTTATCCTTAACCGGTCACAAAATAGATAGTCCGTTAGACATCTTTTATCCTAGGCGATCAGAAAATATCACAGAATATCATAGTAGAAATCGTTGTTTGTTATTCAATGCACAAGACATAGAACAACTTAAGAAAGATATACGAGGCCGCTATTTGGACGAATGTTACGGTCGTCGTGGCGGTGGTGGCGGTGGTGGTGGTGGTGGTGGCGGTGGTGGTGGCGACGATGATTTATCTACATGTTGTGTAACATTGACATCTATATGAATAATTGATGATGGTGTATATAATTTATTTGTTTNACCCAACAATGTTCTTCCACAATTTGGTGAAGTATCAATAACAACAAGTTCAACAGCATTAGCATCACTAACTGATGCAATTGTCTCACTTTATACATATCCATATGAATGTACAGAACAATTAAGTTCAAGATTATTAGGTCTACAATCACTGTGGAATGTTTTACAGGCATTTCATTGTAAAGAATTACCTGACATATCAGTATTGACAACTAGATTAGAATCAGACATAAATAAATTAAAGGGCCGTCAATATTCAAATGGTGGATTTGGTTATTGGACAAATCAAAATAATTCTCATGCTGATCCATATATGAGTATACATGTTGCACATTGTTTGGCTGTTATTGTGAATAAAAAGGTAAGAGTTTTATTCTGTGAACGATGACACAGATGAGGAATATGTAGCAGTTGTGTAGAAAGAACTATATTTCAAGTTCGAGAAGATTCTGTTTAGTTTAGAAGTCTACTTAATACTGTACTATAAAAATCTTTTAAATGTGAAACATGTTTAATTACTTTAAAGGTATTTTATGTTGATGTGAACATGGTGAAAAAATCGCTAAAATACCTTGAAAACATTGAATCTGAAATTGATCAATTACCATACAGTAAATATTGGTCTGAAAGAACTCGATTTAGTTTGATGAGTTATGCATTATACGTACGAGCGAAATATCGTCAAAATGTTGCTGATCAAGCTTTACAATTATTTCAGCGAAGTGGATTTGATAAACTTAGTTTAGAAGCATCAGGTTGGCTATTAATAGTTTTATCGATAAATAAAAATAATCATAAAAATGATATTATCGATATTATATACACACATTTCAAAGGTAAAGTAAGTGAAACAAGTGAAACAGCTAATTTTATCACGTCATATGGTGATGATGGTCAATCAGTTATGTTACATTCAAATCAACGAACAGATGCTATTTTATTAGAATCATTATTACACATTGATCCAAACTCCACTCTTTGTACTAAATTATGTAAAGGTTTACAAGCGCATAAAGTGAAAGGTGCATGGAAATCAACACAGGAAAATTGCTTTGTATTAATTGCACTAGATAAATATTTTCACATTAAAGAAGAAGATACACCAGATTTTGTTGCTCATATTTGGCTTGACAATGATTATTGTGGTCAACATCAATATAAAGGTAAGATCATATCATAAGAATAATGATGATTTAGTCACAAATATTGTGAATGTAATCATATTCATATAGCAGCATTATAGTATAGAATTAAGATCAAAATGGAGCGTGGTTTTCTAGATAATACACTTATTCATGTAGAATGTTTAGCTAGACCTCAAGATTCCTTAAATGAGTCATCTTTGTCTACAAGAAATGATTTCTATCTATCTATTTCTAAATATACGTATGTTAAAGTTTAGCTTTCATAAGTTGTCAGTTCTTTTCTAATAGATTTTAAATTATTTCTTTAACTTCATGTATGATATGAAGACAAACTAACCCTCATATTTATTAGTTTGTATAACTTCTAGCAATCATTCATATTCCTATATTACTCAATATATTTTCGGATAGCGTTTATTTCTATCTCAAGTACTACTAGCATGATGATTTCACAATATCTAATGTATTCTAATGTCTTTTCTTAATATAAAGGCCGAACGACAAATACACATACAGTAAATATTCCAATGAAAGTAGTCTTATCACCATCAT